CACTTCACAAAGCTTCTTACCAACAATATTAAGCTTCAAAGGCAGCTGTAAATGTGTTTCGGAACATGCAGAAAGATCCGGCAAAACACCCTCACGATATAAGTCACAATCGATAGGTTTCGAGCTTTCAACTGTCAAACACCGTCCCGTCCCCTAGTAAAATAATCTCAGAGGACACGACCACAACGCATTTTCATTGGAAGAAACAACAACACGTACAATTGGTCAAAAGGTGTTAGACATGTCTGCCACCTAGGACGAAAGTGCAACGCTACACAAGGGAACTGAGCCCTCACGCCCTTAGCTTCCAGGGTCCTCTCTCTTTCTCCTTCAACAGACTCAACAAATCAAGAGCTGCTCGGTTACAAAACTTTCATGGGCTGCTGGAAGCGGGTTTCTTCTCTTTGGGTCAGACCAGAGTTTATCCTTGAAACCTCCCCCCCCCCGGGGGGGGGAGACAGGACTTTCACATAAAATAGACGGGAGTGCTCGTCAAGTCGTCGTACATTAAGGGGTTAAAAAAAAGGTTTGGTACCCAAGGCTTCTAAGGGTGCTCAGCCCAGTAAGGCTTTCGCGGTACCTTTTAATTTAGGGCCCGTATTGAGCCGAAAATATTCCGCGGGGTGGGTAGATCAAGAACGCCTTCAAAAAGGTGTGTTAAGTGTATGAAAGTAAAACGAAAGTCAATTGTGAAAATTTCATCACTTACTGTTTAACATATGTGAAATAATTATTCTGGAGAGTGAGAGCTGAAAGCGCTCGTTCAAGGGAGATATCTTTTTTTCATTTTCCTTGACTTATCATTCCCTGATTCCCATATATTTCCGAGGGATCGGGGCATTTGATTGCGTAGAATGACCCTAAAGTGGGTGGGGGGTTTGCACACCATCTTAATCTTTGGACCAGGGGATACAAGGAATATGCCAACTAAAAGTTGAAGATGCCTTTTGCCCGGGGGAGGGAGTCCGAGGGGGGGGGGGAGCTGTTGAACTTTCAAATTGACTGATACATAACATTATACGAAGGGTTGGGAAATCGGAAGAACTGAGACGTGAAGAGATAGTTTTTCTGTTTCCAAATGATCTGTGTACCTCCTGTTAACAACAAGTTGCACACAGGGATTTCAGGCCACATGTACACTTAATCTTTTGAAAGCACAAGCCCCTTTGCCTTGTTTTTGATTGTTTTAAATAACTGAAAATCCCATCCCGGTACCATTCAAATAAATTTACTTTCTGTTTTTTTTAATCTTTATTTTGACTTTTCTTAGAAAATAATACATACATATAGATTAAAGAGAGATAGTGCAATTTAATTTGCATAAGTATGCTCACAACAATTGCAGCTTAACTAATTATAATTAAAAACTAAATGCATTAGTAGCACATGTAATAAACATGAAATACATGTGCAAAATATTCACTAATTATGACAATACACAGCACACTAAATGACATCATATGGCAGTCCACATTCTCTCTAAAGCACAGTTACAAAATTATTTGCTATTATTTCAAACAAAATGGATGGCAGTAAAATATTCCAAAGCTGCCTAATTCTTTCCAGCTATGTATTTTAACCAAAACTGTTTCGTACTTAAAATTGTCTTTAAACAAACAAAACTTCGTTATTCAGCAAAGTGAATGTCAAATTATTTTGCTTCCCATTTTTCAACTACAACACCTTGCCATTATTCTCTTACATTATTTTTTCGTCTTTTCCTTTTTCCCTTTTTTTCGTTTTTGATTTCAAAACATTTTCTTTATTAATGACCACATAGAGATCACATAATTTACTGTTTGCTCTCACAGAGAGTAACCTTAACTTATACCTTGTGCTCTGACATTGCTCAACACACTGTTCTCACTCAGTTCAGGATGTCGTATTTATGTTACATGCACTTGCAGATTTACTATTAGCTATTACCAAGTCAAGAGTGGAAACAATGTGTCAAGTAATGCCAGAACTGGTATACACATTAGGGGGTTTACAAACATCTGCCGCTTTCTACCCAAGCAGGGGAAATTGACAAGATGTGGACATTTCAACAACACTAGCCACATGGAAAAAGCAAAAACACTGCTTCATCACATTCTTGATTCAGCTTCGAGAGAAATAAGCTAAATCACTTGGTATCCAACCAATGAAATAAGACCTATGCTTATCTGGAATACTAAGTTAACTAAACCCTGAGTGCAATGCTATGTGACTAGTTCAGTTCTACTCACTGCACACGTGTAGCATAAACAAGACAAAAAGGTAAACTTATTTCAGGGCATAATATTACTTAAATTACTTAAAACGTGCCACAGAACCATAGAAACAAGTACCGAACCTACAATGTACAGAAAAGAGAGACACTCAGTTAGGATGGCACCAAACAAATACAAAACTTCCAAACTATATATTGTGGTGCCAAAAGGGAAAGAAATGCTGATTTGACTGACTCAATGGCTTGAATTCATTCACCCTTTTATACAAGTCATTGTTCAAGTACCGTAATGTATAGGGAAAGTATTAGAAGTACACAAGTTTCAATTATACAGTTCAGAACTCCAAGAGTTTAGTGTTTACCATGTCCATTTCCCATATCACATAAAATATTAGCTAATATGGTGACAGTAGCGGTGGGGTTATCACTAATTGCCTTTCGCATGGCTACTTCTGGTACAGACTCCCCAAATATGCCAATCAGTCTCTCCAGTTTCACATTCATGGCTTCTTGATCTCTTTCAGGATGATAGAACCTGCACTTCAACCCATAGGTGCACTTCTTTAGATACGGACAAATCCTTGGGTGAGTTGCTGAACCCTTCCGAAGAAAGTTATCAAGACTTGGCCCATGTTTGCCAAGTGGATCGTCAGGAACCATAAACTTGTCCCCAACAAAAGAGTACATGAGAAGTCTCTGTTCAATTGTCTCTCTCCACTTTGGATTCTCGTTAACTAAGTCTCTGTAGTTATCATTTGACAAAACAATACCATCTGTTTCCGCTGCTAGTTTTATGATAAATCGATCATCATAACAGACAATTCTTCTTCCATTCACTTTCCTTGAAGGAGTGAAAACTAAGATACCATCACGTTCTAAGTTGTACAGAATGTCCTGATCTGTAATTGGTTTGTCTGGACGGGATGCTTCCTTGCGCCAAGATGGCACAAACACAGTGATTTCTTTGTGCCCTTTTGCTCTGAACCAATCCACAGACAGTTGTATGCCTTTACAAGAGTAAACATCTTGCCGTCCATGGCTGTAAAGAAGGAAAAATTATTTTTGTAAGGAAACAAAATGAAAGTAAATCATGTTTTATGGAAAACTATGTGTTTTATGCAAGTTTATTAATAACCAAACTTAACAACAATCTCCACTATTTCTAGAAGCATCTGGTCGGGGGTGTTGCCAGTTAAGCATGCAAAATGGACAAAGAATGTTTTAACTATAAATAACAGCAGCATGCTGTTTGGTTAAGAACAACAACAAAGACTTGTGGTGTTCATTGAAAACAGGAACACCTTTGTCTTAAATGATGTTTGAGCAAGATACAACTTTTTAATCTTAATTTTATAATCTCTTCACAACAAAGACAAATTTAAACCCTATTATAAATCACACCCAACTAAATTTACACAGAAAAAAATTATAATGATAATTTCAAGACTGTGAATGGGAGGTTCGAAAGCAATATGTTGAAGGATGTTGCTCAATTGATAAAGGAACTTACTCAACCACAGGAATTCTAATGACTTGCTTGACCCTGTTTTAGCTTTCACTCTACTGCACATGCTCAGAAGTATTCAAATAAACTTCCTGTTCAGATATCGCATTTCATCAAAACAAAACTATCTCATTTCAATAGATCAATTTTTTTTTCTCCTCATCCAAAATACAAAGTTTTTTGTAGAGAAATTTTGCCCCATTTTGCAGTCAGCCATACCCCTGAAAATTAAGCTAACGAGTTATGTTCCTGTATCGTTAAGACATGAGCACGTGAACACAACAGAAGTTACATGTAGCTTACCTCATTGCAACATTGCTTCCATCAATCACTACAGGCCTCAAGTTTGAGGATGAATTCCCTGCAACCTTTTTGGCACCAAGAATTTGTTGGTACATGAGTTTCTCTTCTTCATCTAGCCTATCACTAGCACTCATGCCACTGCTGCCAGCTTCTCTGTGGCCATCATACATTGTTGATGCTGGGTTGCTGTAAGGTTGCAGTTGCATAAGGGGCTGAACAGAAGAAGAGCCCCTTGCAATGATATCGCTAGGGCGCTCAAGAACTCTTTTAGTACCTCTGGGAACTGCTATTCCTCGCTCCAAAACATCACTAGGTAATTCGTAACTCGGTCTCGGCAACACAGCTGAAGCACCTCTTGCGATAGCGTCTCTATCCCAGTTGGGTTGAACACCATGAAGGGGAGCTCTGATCACCTTGTCTGTAGGGTTTTCATAGCCAGCCCTCAACATGTGTGCTGGGGGTGTGTTTGGGGCTCCCCTTGCAACAACTTCTCTTCTTGGAGGATACTGTGCTACTGCTGCTGGAGCAGGCTTTGGTTGGGGAGACGAAGCGGATATCTGATACGGCAACGATGCTGTTGTTTTGAGAAGTTCATTCAACAGTGTATTTTGAGTAACGTTTGTTCCTAGCTTTTGAACAGCTTGATCAATCACTTGATTAGAATAGCCTAGTTTTATGGCAAATTCTCTTAACTGCGGCTCAATACTCGGCGGATGAGGCAGAGTGGTGTTCGGCGGTGATCTTATTTTATCCTCAATCAAAGACTGTGCCAAAGTGACGGCCTCTGCGCTGCCTTGTAACGTGCAGTTGTTCCGTGAAGGAAACTTAACCACAGCACTGGTCGTTCTTTCAAGGTCGTCTCGTAACTTAAAAAGCACATTGTAAAACTGTTCACTGAACGGAACAGAAATGTCTAACTCTGGATTACAAAGCGACTTGATGTATTCCTGAAAAAAAGGGAGATAGAACTTCACTACAACGGAACACTTAAGACATGCTGAAAACCAATAATAAGTTTAAGCTTCTTGCATGTAGTTTTACCGAATGCAAAGACAAATTCGTTTTTCGCAATGAAAAGTCATTAGACTTTGTATTTTTATTGTTGAGCAATAAAAGCTTTGAATCATGATACTCTGTCGGGAACAATCAACTCGTGTCTATATTGCTGAAAGATATAGCAATTCACTGCTGAACGCCGAAGTATTTCCAGCACAGTATACCTTCATAAGCTCCAAGACCAATAAGTTTGAGTTTTATAACGAGAAGAAAGAACTGTGTTCAAAAAGCCAGTATCGCTTCGATCAGCAACACGGAAGTTTTTAAGGCCTTGCGACATGCTCTTTGAATTTCATGAGGATACATATGGAAATTTTAACTTTAAGCGCCATTAAACAATAGAACCTAAAGCTTAAATTTCTACAAACCTTCGCTTTGGCCACTGCCTCTTTCTCGCCTTTTAAAGCCAGCCACTGAATTCCACTTTTAACAGCACTCTCCTCTGGCGAGCTGAAGTGGACAAGCACATGAAATAACAGTCGTATTCGTTCGAACGCGCTGGCCACCAGCGTTCGCCTTCCATGCTCAACGGTCAGTTCCTCCACAATATCATTGTCCGCCATTTTTGTTTTGAGATCAACTTGGCAGTAAATAATCCTAACAGTGAAGACTTTTCTCCTTCTATTAACACCAGTGGAACGCCATATGCGAAGCACTCAATTCTGCGAAGAGGAAGTTAAGGGCGGTTTTGATCAGTGATATAAATACTGGTAAAACATCCTTTCTTGTGTTCTGGTCTCGTCCACTGAAATTCGACCATTCAGCTTACGTCATCCCTATTGACGTTTTCTTAAGACTTCCCTTGGGGAGGAGACAAATAATAGTTTTGCAATACCAAAAATTTCTCCGAAAGCGGCCTGAAAAATCCATTTCAAGGCAAAACATACCAAAGATACATTTTCAAAAAGCTTTCATAACTAGAGGTACCTTCGAAATCTACTGAAATAACAGCTTTACTGGTTGTAAAACAGCTGCCCGTTTTTACACACTCTCCCCTCCCTATAGGTTCAATTTAAACGATTTTCCCAAGCGTCACCTCAGACGCACGCAATACATCATTCAGGGTAAATAGACTTCCTAGAAACTGCTGCAAAACATAAACCGAGCAAATTAAGTAATACATGAAATCTTTTGGTTTCAGTGCCTTGAGATCACGATAGCTTATTAAAATACGTTATGACAAGAAATGATTTGTTTCAACGAACTTACGAGGCTGTCACTCCAGTCACTGCGATGCAGCTGTTTTAAAGTTCTTATATTCCAAGCACGTATTTCTCTCTTCTCGGCCTTAGACGGTAAACTAGGGGTAACTATAAAGCACTGAGAAATTTCACAATGACGAATCGCCTTTACTGTAGACGAAAGTATTGATGTGCGCGTAAGCACATAATTCTGTTCCGCATCAGGAACGAACCCCTTGGTATGTTGCGAACGCTGAAAAGGGGTCGACTCGCGACCGAAGTGCACAATTCTGCGTCAGTTAAAAGATTCCTACTACAGCAAGTTATTTCTATCGATCTTAAAGACACGGCTAAGAAAAGAAGATTCCTTCTTTCGAGAAATGCTTCAGTTTTCTTCGGCCCGGAAAATGTATATGGAAAGTAGAGCCCAAAGAATAATTATAATAAGCATCATTTTACTCAGACAACTTCCGCTTATAAAATGAAACTGCCCACTACTTCGGTTTTAATAACTGACTATGCCTGTCCTTATAGGGAATTCCGAATTCCTCAGTTTTCTTTTCGCATCAATACGTTGAAATGACCACCAACACTGAATGTCATACTTGTTGCGTATTTCACGATCGAAATCAGCCCAGGGCAGCCGGAGTAATCGTAGTTTTTCCGCATTATTTTATAATAATTTCATATCGTCTAACTAGTACAATATTGCAAGATTTTTAACAGCCGAGGACTGAAACTAAAGATCGGTGCGGAAAAGTCAAATCTTCAACAACTGCATCCTTTGGAAATAAGTCTTATTAATTGAAACGCAACAGATACGCATTTACACTGTCTCCTTACCGTTGCTTACGAGGAATCAAAAACCTACGAACCGACGCAGACGTAAATGTCTTCGAGGTTACTAGTCGAACCAAATCGAACGTTCGATTAATCGAAATTAATTGATCAACAGTTCGATTAGTAACGTCGAGAAATATTAATGTCGATGTGCCAAAGCTTGACTTAGTATTATAAAATGTTGCGAGCACTTTCCACAAACTTAAGAACAAACAAACAAAATATTATACAGTATGTCCTCTTTTCAAGGCGCTATGAGGCGCTTCAAGGCACATGGCACAATCCGTCTTTATGCTAAGAAATACGCCTTGTTCGATACAACTTCACGCTGAAACGGTGACTGAAGGACTTATAAGGCCATACAAAAAATAAAACTTACTAGTTTGTTTATGTTCTTCCCCTTGTGCGTCCTGCGCATCTAACTAAACAGCCGAACAAAGTATTCCTCGACAAGAACGCGGACAACACAGGAACAACATTCTTATCATGCATGTATCAGCGGACGTGTCATATTGATATGTGATTGGTCACCTGGCCGTGACGCATGGTCACTGTTTAATCCAGTCATGTTCAGCAAGCAGTGGCCAACACTCCGGCACTGTCGGGGCCTCTCTCGACGTTTCGACTCTTTTTGTTTGTTTGCTTTTTTTTTTTTTTGTTTGGGTGATGATGATGATCAACATTTGATTTGATCAAGATAGCTATAAATGTTGCCTTATACTACAACGCTAACATGGCGTGCTTTACCCTATTGGCAAAATCCATCTACATGTAGTTGCTTTCACCTGAATGGCAAAGTGCACGAAACGAGGAAGCCATTTTTCTTTCTTTCTTTTTTCGGAGACCGCTTTTTTTTTTTAAGACGGCAACTCTTCTCAGAGTGAAGTATTTATCAGCTGTCAGGCAATACACTGGAAGTCATTTCCCTGGTGCTTTATTAGTTTGTAAGTTAACAGGCACCACCGTCCGCAGAGGGAGGGACTTGGAGTGGAGGCGGGGGGCCTTGCGAACCCCCTTTTTCACTACAAAGATAAAAAAGTAAAACTGAAAATAACGCAACAAAGGAACTACGTAAATCTTCTTCAGGAGTGAAATATTTTCTTTGGGAGAAAAAATTCAGTTCCGATATTGATCGACGGATTATTGGGTGCAAGCATTAACACTGACTTTTTCTTCGGGCTAAATTTAGAATCGTACAGAGGCTGCACTGTTTTCCCACACAGATTCTTTTTTTTTTCAGAATCCTATGATTATAGAGAACAAAAATATCAGCCGTTAGTTGCAATCTGTTTATTTATGTCCTGGAGAAGACGTGAAGCGATGTCAATTCTAAAACATTCTCAATTTGACTTTTATAAAAACCTGGCTCATTGGCAAGCCAATCATTTGTCAAGGGGAAAGCGCACACCATGGAAAATTGAAATCGAGAATGGAGAACAATTATATCATATGGAAAGACTTGACCATTGCAGGCAAATTTATGCTGAGTCAAGTGACTCGATAGCTGATGCTTTTGACTAATTAAATTTCTTTTATGACTCGTATACCGTTTATTAAGAGTAAGGTTGAATTAAGTATGTTCTACCCCGGGTGTTGTTATTCATAGCCTGGTACAAGCCTAAGACCAGGCGAAAATAGAAGCGGATAGCTTGATCACCCCGACTTACCTGTTGAGTGGGAGGGTGGGTCGCTAACCTCTTCGATTTCGCGGCCTCGCCGGTAGAGCGATGGGGTGGAACACGTGTAAATTCTTTTATACTGCAATTGACATAAGCCCCAGGGTGTTAATTACCATGATAATGCCAAACCAACGATGACTTGAATTACTTTAAACGGCCCAAATTAATCAATAGAACAATGGTTCTACGTACATGTTTATTATGTACCTTTGTATATTTTCTTAGAAGTCCTCTGCATATTGAAACAACAACGTCAAAATACCGTGTTATACTTATTTTCAATGGAGAAAGAGAACATTTTCTTTTTGGAATTGTTGAACGCCTTGATAACATACTGAGCTACACAAATTATTATACCGACAGACATATACTGAATCGAATTCTGAAGTAAAATAGAACTCGTCGTCCTCTACGTCACCGTTGTTAGTGTGTAGGTTTCCCCATTATAAACAGTTTTATAATTCAACTTTCATACACTGTACGAATTCCGATTTTTTGATTGGCTGATTTGTACCACGTGATACTTTGTACCTCGTTGTGACGAGACAACCACCTTGACGTCATTATCGTAGTGCAATAGCCGTGGTGTAAACTCAACACACTACTGTTATTACACCATGGCTTCGGCTGACTCAAATATAGTGGTTTCAATCCATTGTTTCTTTGTAAAGTGTATTCAATTTGAATAATAAAAATGTCAACGCACTCATTACTCGTGAATTATAGCTGGTTTTCACATGACGTCACTAAAATTCGAACTACAAAACTATTGATCTTCCTGAGATTTTACTTTAATGATGTATAAGAGCAGCTAAAAACTAATATTCACACAAATGTTCGCTCCGAATGGGTTCTTGGTTTTGTGATACACTACGCTTGAATTTCTAAGCTTTTGCGTGACGCGGCACCCCCCCCCTCCCTTCCATCCCATCTGGTGTGTGGTACAATTAGCGGCTTATCAACCATTTCATTGAGATTTTTTTTGACTTAAGTGATGTTGCATTTGTCAGCTATTAGTTTTAGCAGATCAAAGAAATGACTGACTTACTTATGGTATTACGCCTATCCAGTCGCAGTGTTCCTGCGAAGTTCCTGCCTCTTTTCTTTTCGTCTTCTTAATCCTTCCTCTTCATCCTCTTCTGACTCCTCTATATCTCTTCGAATTCCTATTCAATACGTGCTGATGTAAAGCTGAAATGTCACTATAAAGGATGAAGAGCTTTCTTAATAGTTGTTATCTCCTTTGAGCCCTGAATTTCCACCGGAAGTAACTTGAATTTTAAACAACAAGTACACCCAGACACTCAAGTACAGAATGAAAACTTCGCCGAGTTGAGCTGGAATTTGAGCATCCAGATTCGATCTTCAGTGGCTTTATGAAGTGGTTTATACGAAGAGTTACCAGATGGAGCGATCAATTTAACGGAAACATCTCAAATTTTAAACAACATGCACATAAAGACACTCAAGTAGAGAATATTTCTTCTGTGGCTTTACGAATTCGAAGTGGGTTTATACGAGGAAATATCAAAATGGACAATTTAAACGCGGTCTTTAACTTCACACAGCCCTCCTGCCAAAGTTTTGAATTCGCTGGTGTTGAACGGCGTTAACTCAATGCAGTGATTAACGCAGGGCTGTTGGAAGAGTTACCTTTAAGAGATTATTGTCAGCAGAAGGACGCCTCGACCAAGTGAAATTTTTTAAGTCTTCAACATCCCTTTCAAATTTAAAAGCTTTTCATTGAAGACGTTTGACAATTCCTTGACAATCTCTTTTCATCCTTTGTTTATTTTGTCATGACGGTTAAAAAACTCCAATTTTTACCTTGCCGCCTAAAGCAAATACATTGGCAAACTTGACGTTTCTTGTTTCCGTGAAAAATGATGTAAGAAAATGAAACGGTCATTATGTGTGACTCTGAGTTTATAATTTGAGCCAGTGGCACTCGTGCAATTAAACTATCATTGAATTCGATGTTTTTACCTGGCGAATTTGTTTTCCCGGCGTAGCTATTTCGAGCTCTTTTGTCCAAATTACTGGAATAGTTATAAGTGCAGACATTTTTGTTTAAATACAAAGGATTTAGAATAGATTTTTAAGATAATTTTAAATTCTTAATTTGAACCCTGTCTCTCTTTACGTCGGTTTCCGGGTTGACCTAGACTGTGTAGTTTTTGAACGGTCGACCCACGATGAAAAGCCGGTAGCCTATTTTCTCATCGGTCACCGTATCGTGCCTTTTAAAAAATCATAGTTTAACCGCTTACCTTCTTATTTCTTGAAGACAGGTCCTTCGGCTTAATTACTTTTCAAACAAAATGCTTCGTGCAAATCTGACAAGTTTCAATTTCAGTGCAATTAGTCTATTAGTCAGGGATTTCATTTCATGATCATCAATCACGTCCTGTACTTGTGGTTCCTTAATTGTGCGAACATAAGTAGCGAAAATTGAGGGGTCATGCATCGGAGCGTGGGTGAATCGGGCCCCTTTTTCCCCTGCAATTAAATGCCCATTTTTAACTGAAGTTCATTGTCCTATTACATCTATATTCTATAACTATCATTAGACCCATCATGTTTCTGTCAGAACTGAATGGGTGAGGCAAGTTCTCGAGTAAACAATAATTGCAAATTTCAAATAGAGTAGATAACACCTAGAACCAAACAAAAAAGTTCAAATTCAATATCCAATTTTGCGCAAGGCTTTGTACTTTAATTTGACTTATTTTAAACATTGCCACTTACTCACATTGGCATCAAAGAATCTCGACATAATATCCAAAAAGCTTGTTGTAAAAAAAAAAATGCTGTTAAATCATATACAAATAGGTTCAGATGATCGTGTTTTGATCTCCTCGTGTGGTATATATATTTTTTGGAAAAATAAAACTTATGCTGGTATACTTGTAGAATATACGATTTACTGATAGCCACTATTGCATATGGCATATATCTGGTGACATTTAACTTCTAAGGGTTCATTTGAGTTTTAGTTGTTGTTATTGTTGATGTTTTTTCTCTTTACATCCACTACAAAACGTTCCCAAACAATATATCAGCAACTTAACAAGAAAATTAACCAACACCCCAACTTGAAGACGAACACTTGTGCTGGTAAGAAAACAACTACTGAAGCTCCAATTAGCAGACAATGATGAGCAGATATTTTTATCATTCGTTATTCATCATTTAGTGGAGCTTCAGTGTAAGTTATGGAAAACACAGAAGTTCATCCCATTAATCAGTTGTCGAAGGTGCGAAGGAGTAGCGAGCTGCACCGATCAACAAAGGTTAGATTCAAAGCAGTCCTGGTGCAAGACCTGGAGAATGGAGAAAAGAGACTTCCTGTCTTCAAGACAAATGCCTTCGGATGATCTTGAATATCTTTTTTTACCGGATGAACCCTATGAAGTCATGAAGTCAGAACCGTGGCCGGAAACCTGATGGAAAGAGAAACGTTGTAGAAAACAGCAGCTATTAATTAAGACAACTTCATTGAATTGTCATACACTTCGTGTAAATTAAACTCATTTTCAAAGACTCATCAGACTTGCCGTTTTTAAATGTGAACCAGTTGCTTGAGATTCCTGTGCATAGGGGTTGGACTGGGGAGAACCTTAATTTACATGGAACGCCTAGCGAAAAACGCGCATGCATTATGCGCTAGAACCTGAGTCGTGCATGTCTTTACACGTTTTTGTTCATTGCACTGTCATTGACCCGAAACCGAAAGACAGCGGCGAGTATTAGCGACCTCAAGATACTACCAAGTGATATTTCGGAATTGTGAACATGGCTCCCCAAGTAAACATATTTGCGGGTTCATTAATCGTTTTGATGATGTTATTTTGTGGATATCCAGTACTCTTGCAATCCCATTACGTCGGTTTTAGCAAGGACAACTACGTCGCACAGAATGTTTCGATAAATTTGGATCGTTCCGTGTTTACCGTCAGTGAAAAGTTTCTCTCCGTTGCGATCGACTCTAACATTATGAGGCATCACTGGCCTCACGTGAATTTCACTTCCGAGAGATTGTTTAACCTTGCCAGGGGACTTTCTCCAGCATTTCTCCGCATTGGTGGAACGGCTGGGGATTTTCTGATCTATGATGATTCCCAAGGGCTCCAAAAGCCCAAGAATGTTAGTAATTTTACAATCACCCATCAAGATTTGGACAAGATTCACTTGTTATCCTCCAAAGCAGGTTGGGATGTCATGTTTGGGTTGAATGTGCTTCTAAGGACACAAGATGGCTCTTGGGATGCAAGCAACCCCAAAGAAATAATGCAATATGTTGCTGAACATGGCTATAATTTTGGATGGGAGCTTGGAAATGGTAAGAAATGCAAGTGGGCTACAGACAGTAGCAATGTGCTACAGACCCGGGGGAGGGGGGAACTACTCTGCAAATCTTTGGGTAGGGGTGAGCCACTGCAACACTGAGACCCCTTTCCTATTCTGGACCATGATCAGCTTGATTTTGCAACCCTATTCTAGACTAGGTATCAAAAATCCCTTCCATATGCCAGTCTAGCTATTTTTACATGAGGAAATTTTGTCACTATCGCACAGCCCTGTAGTCCAAAATAGTCACCTTCATGGATATAGTTGTATAATAATGCAATTGATTGTGAGTACTCGTGCAAATTGTGTTATTGAAAGTCTTTTGTTGGAAAAGGATTGCCCAAAAGTGTACATGATTATCGTTTCCTGACAATGAATTTTTTTTCGACAAAAATGAAAATACATTTACAGCCAGTGATTGTCAAAGGAAGGTATTATTTATCTTTTGATGAATTTGAATGTTAATACATATGCAAGTGTTATTCTTGAATGCACTTCCTTACGTGCAAATGAAGGTCATGTTCATTGGTGTTAATGAGAGTATATTGACCATAGTGAAACAAATTTGGACTCAAATGAATGGATATTTTCTGTAAATGAACAGCAAAAGGTGTAAACCGATATTAACATCTATACCCTTTCTGAGTTTCAATTTCTATTATAGAACTCTGCATTAAGAACCCTGTTCTGGATTAATTTTTTTGATACCTGATTTTAGCCCAAAACTGTCAGATCTCTATACCCTATCCCAGACTAAAAAAAACCATACCCTTCACAGCAGCACATACCCATATAGATCATGTATGAGATTACCCACTTCTCCTTTCTGGGGCTACAGTTAGCCTTAATAGCATTATGAGAAACCTGGATGTGCTTGGGTTAGCATGTTTACAGTTAACTCTAAAGAATGGTAATGTTAACACAGTATACATGTGTACAAACACTTAAAAACAGTCAGAACTCTAGTTTGTAGATGTTGCAAACTGGTACAAAATAAAATGCACTTCACTATGGAACAAACTTCCTTTTCATTGTTAGAGTAACCCCCCATAAGTGACATGTGAAGCCTAGTTACATGTCGTTTGTTCCTCATGGCAGCTGGTCACTGACCACAAGAGGTCCAAATTTTTGAACCCTTTTTAGTAACCTTAAAGAGACTTTCAGCCACAGTATTTACAGTATCATGCTGACCAAAGGAGGACTTGATCTGAGTTAAATAGTATAAGTGGACTTGGACATAAGTAAGAAATAATTTTAGTTGACAATTAGATTTATAATTTATTCCCTCTTGATGTTATTTAGGTGATAGTTAATGAGGTCAAAGGCTGAATCAACTGTTACTTCATAGAGAACGAGGGCAAATAATCTGATTGTTTACATATAATTCTCACTGCAATTTCCTTTACATGACAATGATTTTCGATTATTAACATCAGCAAACCACCAATGTTCTTCTTTTAGACTTCTTAGGAATTTAAGTATCAATTTGTTTCTAAGTGTTCCTCCAAAACTTTGGAAAAACAAGTAAATGTCGCCATTTCATAGGCTACCTCCCGCCATTGCACACCAATGCCTGATAGTGTACATGTGCCGTAGCTTGCATCTTGTCAATCAGATTGCACTATTTGCATTAGTACATGAGTAGAATTTTAGGTTTGGTTAATTCAGTATTATCTCAACCTCATACTTATTTAATAATTATAATCTGCCAAAAATCCAAATGAAAATTTTCTAAACTTTCCTTAACTTTTAGTAAGTGAAAGAATGGACCCACATAGCAATATTTCACTCTTATTGTCTTTTTTTCACAGGGGTGGGGGCATAGTGTTACTGCACCTTTCAGTAATTTGCAAAGTTAAAAAAATGTGAGTCATTGAAAGGTGCTGTAAATGTACCATTCTATCTGTTTTACAGTGGGCAATACTTATTTTTGTTTGTTTTATTCTCCCTTTAGAACCAAACCATTTTATGGATCATTTTAATAAGTCAGTTTCTCCAGAGCAACTTGCTAAAGACTTTCAAACTTTAAGGTCTATTCTCCAAAGCAGTCCTCAGTTTGGACACTTTCTTGTTGGTCCTGATGTAACTAGAATTTTAAATCATCGCAAAGCTGCAACCTTCTTGGAGAGGTAATCCATAGCTAAATTCTACCTTTTCAATTTTCTTCTTTCTTCAGAACCAAATCTTTTTGTTGATTTCGGTAAGTCAGTTTCTCCAGAGGAACTTGCAGAAGACTTTCATACTTTAAGAGCAATTCTGCAGAGCAGCCCTCAATTTGGAAATTATCTTGTTGGCCCTGATGTAACAACAGTATCAAATCACTCCAAGTCAGCCAACTTTTTTGAGAGGTACAGTTTTTGTCAATTTAGGTTGATCGGCTTGATTCAAGTATTTTGTGTTTACGTGCATTGAGTTACAGTCTGTAATTGTATTTGACGTTGTCTCAGTGTTCAAGATTAGGGAAGGATCTCAAACCACCACCAGATTAGCTGCTTGACCATAATTTATGAAATTTCTCATGTGTTGGTGATTGAGGCTCATGAGTGTCCAGGTAGAATTCCTTATTGACACCTTATGTTCAAACTGTACATGTATCTGGCTTGCTGTAACATGAAACCAGTATATGTATTGATGAGAAGGACAGAATGTACAAGTGATTATAGAAACTGTAGGTGGAGTGATCCATATCGCTACAGCTTTTCAAGAACATTTTAGTGGTACAGTCTAGAAAACCCTATTGGTTAACTAAACATGCAATTACACAACATTACCAGTAATTACATACCAATTAAGTACATTTTTTTTTCTTTCCTGACTAGCTTTGTTTCACATGCCAAGGATGTCATAGATGCAGTAACATGGCACCAGTAAGTTTCATTTTTTCCAGGATCAGGGAAAAGCTGGGGAATTTAATAACTGTTCAGGGAAATCCCAAATCAGACAAGAGNACTATTGATCTTCCTGAGATTTTACTTTAATGATGTATAAGAGCAGCTAAAAACTAATATTCACACAAATGTTCGCTCCGAATGGGTTCTTGGTTTTGTGATACACTACGCTTGAATTTCTAAGCTTTTGCGTGACGCGGCATTTACATGACGGCCTAGAGAGCTGTCATGATGGTTAAAAAAGTGACTTATTTCGGGGAACTTGGCTATCTGAACAGTTCATGTCTTAGAAAGAGTATTATTTTAGTGTGCTAGAGTTCCTCGAGGGATAAATTCACGCTTTTGTAGCAAAACTCAGTGACAAATGTTTCTGTTGATTTCCGGCCGCCATGTTGGTTCCCATACGGATGGACACCAGCATGGCGTCTCCATACAAATCTCTATAAATTTGGGTAAAAAATGTCTCTACGTATCTCGCATAAGAAAAATTGCTGTGACCAGAATTTTGGCGAGAGGCTTTGCATATTTAACTTCTTTCATTTGTCAGATTCTGGACTTAATCTATTGACCGGTTTCGATTTTTATTTTGATCTATTTTGAATTGCGTGACACTGAAAACCAGCAATACTCGTTCACTAACAATGAACACGAAATTTTCAACACCGCACGAGGCTTCGCCTCGTGCGGTATTGAAATTTCTCGTTCATTGTTAGTGAACTCGTGCAGGTAAATCCAGCTCGCTGAGTGCGTTAACCTGTAAATAGTACACATCCTCTTTAATTCGACTATTTCTGAAATGTTATTTAAAGGAAACTTCTGACTCAGGTTCGGCTAACATCTGAAGTACTTTCGGAACTTGGCTCAATTTCTGAGTGTTTGTACGTCCCGTAGAAAACCAGACAGTAAGTCCATGGCAGTTGATCACCGGACAAGGGTGCACATAAAGACCATATTCGCACGTACGTATCTCTCGGAAATCTAAATATATATATACTAGTTAGCAATGCTTTCGAGTGGTATACCACGATATACCAAGAGAAAACATTGCATAACTATTTTATGCCATGCCATAGAAAATACAGTGGCCATGGTCAACACAATCACTGCGACATACATGCAGCGCACGTTGGGAAGGTTGAGTGCAATACCATCCAGTATATAAGGGCTTTCCTATATTCTGATTGGCTGATTTTCTAGGGCACGATATAAATATATTTATATATTTATTGACGAAAAGTGTCTTTAATCATTAAGTGAGCTGCTTTGATCTAGTTTCTTTCATTATGTTGCTGCGAATTTTCCCGTCTGAAGACGTTTCACCCTTTGCTACTAGCCAGCCTCCTTATTAAACCTGCTGTCAATCATCCCAAAGGTTGACGTATAAACAACATAAGTCATTCTGACTACTCAACCTTTTCTTATGTTTTCGTTGTCCCCTGAAAAAGTGGGACATGACCCTCAGGGCCTTTAAAAATAACATTTATATGAGGGGAAGTGACTTCGGTGCTCGATTAACTTTCCTCTCGGTACGTGCGCGGAAAATGACGCGATACGCCTCTGCAGTTCACTCGATCATGACAATTCAAAAGAGGGTACTTATGTTATTTACTTTACTCAGTTTGAAAAAATAGAAACAATTTGACATTTAAGGTTGCAGCTATCATGTCCATCTAGTCACGTTCACGATTCCACTACAAAAAAATTAAAGCAGGCTATGAAAATACTGTAAACCAAATAACAGAAACAGCGACTCCTGTCAAATTATATTCTAAAAAGTGGTGACGTAGTTTACTTCCTTCCCTGCTGAAGGCATCATCATTGCCAAATCCTTAATTTGTACTAATTTTCAGTTTTCCTTTCTTTGGGACGCAAATTTCACTGTTTCTACCTCTTGTTGCGAGGAATCACCACGCACGTGCCTTTGATAGCATATTCAATCAGCAAATAGTCCTACTTAGTTTGTCCTGTGAAGGTTTTTTTGTCGTTGGAGTACGTGATGTGCCCAAAGTACATGTTTAGAACGCTTGGCTAAGAACTACTTGTCCTGTCACCTCCCCCGCGCACACAACCTGAAGTGCGCCTTCCGGCCAGTTAACATTCAGGCTTTTGATCTCAGTGCTGGTACCTGTTTCTAGATCTTACTGCCAGAAATTCACTGATGTTAGAAAACTAAGACATTCAACTCATCAGCTGCCTTGGTTTAAATGATAAAACGGCTGGAGCTGATCAATGGTGGGCATTGTGAACCTCTATTACTCTTTTTTTCTTCTTCACCTTAACACCTTTGCATTTGGTCAAAATTAGTTTTCGCTTTCTTCAAATTTTCTTTATTTTTCAAAATTAGATCGTATCTACCAGTCACGGCAACCGACCTTTTCAAATGAAAATGGCAGTTAAACTCTACATATGGCTATTTTTGGATTATATTTACTCTCCTTACAATACGGCACAACATTTACTTTACTTACAACAGGATATAATAATTACTTCTGCTTCCGAATCCCACGCGTCACTCAGCTTCGTGTATGTCCCGGCAGAATAAAACCTTCAGTCTGAAAATTATCCTTGGAGAAGTTTGGGCATCAGTCACTTAGCTCTCTTAGCTCGCCCAAATTAGAGTCTGTATGTGATTGCCGCCTTTTTGACACACCAAAGCTTGCACATGCGCCGAACCGTGATGGGTCGGTGGTAATGCTTATTTTCTGTATACTACTTACAATTCATATTTAATTACCCAAGTCAACCTTACTACCACTATAAGTTATTTAATCTACATAGCATTATTCTCTTTGTGATCCTCGATTTATGTTGCCAAAGTTATATTTCCTTTAGATTCAACTTCAAGGCTTTCAACCTTCAAGGAATCCTAATAAAACAGAAAATATAAGAGTAATTTAATCAGCAAAGTTATTAAACAAGGCATCTTCGGCGAAGGGTCTCTGGAGCAGCACATATTTATTTTTTTCTCGGGTGGAAAGACCGCATTTTGAAAAAGAAAACGCAAGTCAACTTATCTGCTTGCTTATTCCCTATCCCACATGGCGAAGAAAAGCAACGGAATACTAAAGCTGTTTGTAAAGAAATATATCTATTAATAATCCATCCACAGGTAGAGGAATCCAGTTAATTGGAATGATGTGTATCTATTAAAGTGCAAAGATGGAATAATTAAGCAAAGCCGATACAACGTAGAACTTAACTTGATTTGATAAAATATTTTGGATGGCCTCTACCATTAGCAGTCATTTTCAGGTATAGAGGAAAATTACAAAATATTTCATGCACGCTACAGCTATTCTTTAAAACATGTGTGTGGGTGTGAAATATTTGTAATTTTTCCCCATACCCAAATATGGCTGGTAGTAGCAGTCTGGATATGTAGATAAAGCAAAACACTCTGCTATGAGTATTTTGACCAGTTATTATAGATCGTTTTCACAGTCACGCAATAAAAAAATAAATCGAAAACCATCCAGTGGAAAAAGCTATGAAATTATGATGTTATAGAAGATAACTAAATAAGCCACTTCTCCAAGTTTTAGGCCTGTGTGTTTCCCCAAACTTCAGATATTCGTCGAAATGTTTCGCAGATATTTACAGAGCCAATATGGCGGCCGGAAAATAGTGTTAACATCTGGAACTTACTTTGGCTATCTAGGCGACTGATTATCAGTACTAATCAAACAAGCATTTACATAAGCACTTTTCCTAATGCTTTAACTTCTAAAATGGCTCAAAATCATGGGATAAGTATATATTTTTCGACAAACTCGATCATAGCCTTGTGTCACGCACCTCCATAACCCTGAAATTCAAAATGCTATGGATTCCAAACGAAGCACGCTATTGAGCTGTAAAATTGTAAACAGATATAAATATACCGCCTCTTGTGCCTGATGCGGACAAAAACTTTGGTGGCTCTTTCGTTTTGGATTTTAGAAAGTGATGACGTCACGTGAAAACGATCTATTGGAGATGTGTGACGCTAGGGATGCTCTGGGTACTCTGGTGGGTCTAGACGTGTAGCGGCTCAACTTCCCCAACAGGAAAATATAATGGTAATGTCCCGTTTACAACTGTGGACCTGGCAAAGGGCATGTTGCACTTGAAAGATTCGGCTAGTCCGCAAACGTAACCAAACTTTGGCCTTTAGTATCCAACTGGTGCTAGAGAAAGCCGAAACTTACTAGCATATGCATGTTTATATTTTCCGTGTTCTTCACAGAAAGAATAAGCTTCGCTGCCTGGAAAAATTAGCTCTCGAACTGCACTCTTTCGAAATTTACAATATTCTTACATTATTACTGCTGCCATTGATTTTGACCAAGCGGTCATATCCTTAGCCTGGGCTTCGTTTGGTAGTGGCCAACCGAAATATTGTTCAAGTTAAATTATACATTGTGTCGGCTTTGTTTACATTACACATTGTGTCGGCTTTCTCACTATCTATTCTGTGATAGATAGTGAATAGCGTAGTAGTATGCCCTTGTTAACAAAATGACGACCGCTTCTTAAGCCTGGTTTTCACTAGCGACTCAAGCACAAGCGCAAGCACAACAATTCTTATTTCACCGCGTAATTATATAGCAGTCAGTTAATCCAGTATTGTAAGCACAGCTGTTATCTTTTAATTTCTGAAAACTGTCCAATTTGGGATTTAATTTGGACAGTTTTCAGTAAGGACTTTGAGTAAAACGCAGAAACTGTCCAATTTGGGAAAAAATAGGACAGTTTGTCTCGGCCAACCCTAGTTATCACTTGGGTTATCCCTATTGCTTGCGCTTGTGCTTGCGCTTGTGCTTGCGCTTGTGCTTGCGATTGTGCTTGCGCTTGTGCATGCGCTTGTGCTTGCGCTTGCGCTTGCATCGCTAGTGAAAACCAGGGGCCCATTTCTCGAAGGTCCCGAAAAGTTTTCGCACCCGGAAATTCGTAGCAAAATCTGCAACCTATGATTACAGAGCTGTTTTATTCACATACAAGAAGTTTCATGCTTATACACCTTTCTGTTTTTATATATGTACAGATTAACTAAAAATGCTTTGCTGGCCTGAAAGTTTCCGGGGCCTTCGAGAAACAGGCCTCAGGCTTTAGTGTTTTCGCTCTCGATTTCTATGCGTGATATCACGCGATAGAAATCTCGAGCTCATAATCTCATTGTTTAATCGTTTAATGCAAAAATCACAATGAAATAATTGAAAAATCGATTGGATTTAAAAGTTATATTTTCTTTTCATTTATTTGTTCACTTTATTTCTATTTTATTACTTCTCGGCTTCATTTCTTACTTCTCTGTTGTGCAGCTCCAGCTCAAGTGACGTCACAAGCTCGGCGAATGAAAGCCGCTCTGAGGGGTCTGGACGCCAGCATAACATCATGATCTCGTATCTGTCATGATAACACCAAAAATCCTGATCGTGAAAGTGACTGATCTGAGCAAAGAACTACTTAACAAAGTTTCAGAATAACTTTACACATGTAGTCTTGCAGTTGCTATGGTCAGATATTAAGATTGTCAGTTCGGTAGGTTCAGTGGCTTTTTTTTATTGGTTGAAAGCTGAACAAAGTGGTCGAATCACTGTCGGTTTCCCCTAGAAAGTAAAGAAGGAAGGACTCGAAAGTAAACGTATGGTATTACATACTGAAGCTTGACACACACTCAAAGAAGAAACAAAAGAAACGAGGATCGAGAAAATCGCTGTAAATTATGACTCTATTCGCTTGAAGTTAATAGTCCACTAGTACACCTGCAATGTAATTCAAGCCTAGTAAAAATATAAGTCATACATATGTTTATTGGAAAGGGGAAGAATGTTTTCTGTAGCTTTTCATCAATAAATTGGAAAGATAAATCTTGTGGTGAGCGTAGACACTGAAAATATTATCAGTCAATCATTCAAGCAAGCAAGCAAGCAAGTAAGCAAAAAAATCATTAATCAGTCGTTTATATTAATCCACGAAGCTCCTAGGAGCTGGAGAGATCCTAAAAGAACAGAACATCAATAAACAATCAAATACTAAGAAATTAAAACTAATATAAGAACGCAAAGTTAAATGAACGCAATTACTATACATAGGCCATTAAATACAACATGCTACTATAATGTGTCTGAATAAAACGTTATTAGATTCCCCGATCGTAATCAGTAGGCATACATTTAGAAGTTATTAATTGAAAAATATATATATATATCTTATTTACATTTCATCTGGGCATCTTTCCGGTTTTGTTAATCTTTTTCCTGACTTAATAAATTCCACAACCTCCATTCCTCCAAGACCGGAATACGGCATTTTACCTTAACAAGAACCAAACAGTAAAGTAATCAATAATAACTCGAATGTAAATATTAACTCAGGTACATTTTAATACATATTTTGCAATATTATTGAAAAATGAAACTTCGCGATCGTTTTCCATCTTAAATGAAACTAAAGAAGACACCATACGTAAGCAATAAGGTAAAGAAAGCCTCACCAAAATTTCGTTTATTTTAATTCAGTTTAATAACTTTAATTCTTTTGACACTAATTACTCAGTCTGAGAAGAGTTTACCTCCGGATTCTATCTCCCATAGTAGCACACCAAAGGACCACCTACAAAAGAAAGGTAACGCGCTTGTAAACTGAACAAGCCCCGTCTTACATCCATTGGCATTCATCCTGTAACAATTTTAGAAAACAGCCTTTTTGTGGCAAGAGAACTTTGGGTCTTTGAGGTCCTGAAATCCAAAAGAGATACTCGCACAACACGAGCTTATATTACCCTGCAGTATAGTATCTTTCGAAACGAATATAAATATTTATTATATGGCTAGCTCCGTGAGCGGGCAAGATTAATCAAATCCTGCGCTGTAATTGGCTACCCGAGCGGGCAAGATGGAGCTATCTTGCCCGCCCGGGACTACCCGCCATATCCCGAAAGAAAAATGTCCCCGAAAGCCATATAATAAATCCTTTATTGACCAAGCATATCCAGCCATCTTGACCGAAGAAGCTTGGTCATGTTTGTGCACGGAGCTCAAGAGTGGCAAGGAAGCCGGATAAAGGGTCGCCAAATAAGATGGTAGCTTCGTTAATTTCTCTCACTGAAAGAAAGGTCCAAAAATACTAGAGTATAACATTGAAAACTGTTTAAGGTGGAAGGCGAAGTTGGCTCAGGTGAACAGCTGCATGGCAAGGGTGAACGGAGTTTCGTTGTCAACTCGTTACTTTCCGTTCACCTTCAAACACGTTGACAAAATATTTTGTTGACTTTCTCGTACTTTCCGCTTACATTTGTGATACTATACAAAACGAGTTTTGTTTTCTTCGATGTAAAGTTAAAGGTTACAAATTAAGTGGAAACTGTCCAGCTGACCCCTTGCTTTTGCACACGTAAGGTAGAGTATAATCAATAAAAACGTGCGAAAATTTATCAGTGGGTTATAACGAGAAATAACTGACTGGTCCTCTTTATTCAAAGTTTAGCTCAAAATCTGTCAAAACGTTGACTTTATTGACGACGTCGTGCTTCGGAACAATTTGTGTCTACTACGTAGCTGCTGTTCTTTCATCAATAATTAATGATGGGAATATTTTGCTTATCTGTGCTTGTGGAGCGCTCTCAAACAACATGCTCAACTTACACATCTGTCTTAGTGTTGTAAGTATAATCCTCCAGTGATTCAAGGGCCATCCAACGAACTGGTAACATTCCCTTGTTTGGAAATGAGATCAGAGAATTAAAAAACTTAACAGAATAAACTGAATTGACGCAGGCTATGGAGACTAGAATAAGTTAGACCTCACTCGGTGTTCATTTGCAATGACGTGAACAAATTATAACATCCTCCCATATAGTTGCGGTTGAGGATGCTATGTTTTTTTACTCCCAAAATTTTAGCGTTCCTGAAGGTGTTCGTGATAACAGTTTAAGTGACGAGTGAAGACAACTCTTAAAAAAAAAAAAGAAAGAAAATTACGATTGATTTGAACACTTTTGGCCATTATAAGTGAAATGTTTTATCAGTTCATCGAGCATGAATAGCCAATTTATATTAACTAAATCAAGTCAACAAACCTCGGTAAAACATTTGGAAACTGACAATTCATCAAAAAACCATTGATCAAAGGTCCAGCCTTGAGAAAGATATCACTTACTCTTACTTTCAATTAAATAAATCTTTGCGTGGATCATTTTTATACGCACCGATTTTAAAATATAGTTCAAGTAACTAAAACGACTTTTGTTTGTTGTTTCACAGCACTGTGTCAAAACTAATTTTCCGCTCTCTAGCACTTCACTTCATAAGATCGATTTTATCTGATCAAAGATAGAAAACATTGTTACAGTCAAACTTTAGATAACGCCGGATCACCTCCCATGAACAAACACATTTTTATAGAACCAGTTATGTGCAAAAAGTACATTTCTAATTGTCTGCAAGTGGACAAACACCTTTGTCCAGGTCCCGAGGGTGTCCGCGAAGGAGAAGTTTGACTGAAATCATAAAAATACATTTCCATACCCCAGATGTATTTTCGTATTCACCACTCTCATACACATCACGTGACAAGCCGAAATCAGAAACCATGGCAACATTATTCTTGCCAAGAAGCACATTTCTTGCTGCAAGATCACGATGAACACACTGCAAAGTAACAATAGAAAACAAGTAAACTTGACCTTCTCAGAATCCAATATTCAATCACACTCTAACGAACCCATGATTCTTAAACGATTTTTTTTTTTTGTTTTTAATGGGTTATAGCAGTGCCATGGTGGTATTTTGCATTAAGAATAAGTCCATGGCTTGCTTCCATTATTGCAGCATTGACTGAAGACGAGGGATTGGATTAACCCATCAAAGACCAAGTGCTGAAAATTGCTGGAAACTGTTATGAGCCACCTTAACTACCATAAATTAGCACTCCGCTAGAGTACTCCTCCACCATCTCCTCCTATCAATTTTAATCTTAGTGTTTTAACTTTTGAATAACATATATTTACCTTTTTATTAAACAGGTGCAACATTCCACTGGCTACATCTCTTGCGATCCTGGTTTTGTCCATATCTGAGAGACACACCTGTTTTTCTTCAACGTTAATGTATGGATTTCCTCTGCTTTTCTTCAGTTGATGCAACAAGCAACCATTCTCAGCCAAGCGAACGACCACCAACATTGAGTCTAGATAAGATCAAAATATTGACATGTTTAGAGGTCACCATTAATACAACCAACATGCAGTAACATTAGTTATACAAAGCCCTCACGTGCTTTGCGGCTGCCTCAGCAATGAAAGCTGACATGCCAAAGGGTTGGCCTCTGCCGTTCAGGAAAAAGCCCTCATTTCGACAACTTTTCACCCAAATCAAGCTAGAAAGTTGCTGTGTTAGAACAATCATCGGCCACGTTAAGTTAATAAATGGAAGAAAAAGAATGCAAAAATTGTAAGACTAAGTTTGGGAATACGGTTTACTACTACTGCTACTGCTTTTTCCACTCAGGGACCGGTCATTATTCATCGTCTGGGGGAAGGAGGGTGGAGGATTTGGAGGCTTGGGGGAGTCATTTGATTTTTAGCATAACAGAATGGGCCGGCCAGGGGATCAGTCATAACTGAGAGCTCAAAAGGGGGGATCAGATGGCCGAATTACCGCTAAATGTCACATGCCCATACCGACTTGGTGGACAGTTGTTTGGCACTCTAACGACGTAACTTTGCAGTGTCCAAGCACTTGGGATGGTTAGATTGCTGTTGGGGCGGATCTGGGGGGTTAGGCGGGGGTTTCGGTCGAGCTCCCAGAATTAAAAGAAAAATGAGACATTCTAACACGCTGACTTGGCCTCAGAATGCCGGAAATCCTCTTTCGGAGGACCTCAAATTTAAAAGTCTTTCAGGGTACAATGCATCCGGACCCCCTACAGGGAGGGCTATCCGTATCTCAAACCCCCGTCTCTAAAATTCTGTATCCGCCCCAGTGATGGCATGTCAACTGACATCAGATACCGGGATCCAGACTAGCAAAAGACACGGTTGAACAGACTGCACCATGGCAGCTTCATTATACTGTAAGTACATCATAGAAACATTTTTTGCATGTGGACGTTAAAAGAACTAAATATACACGTCGAAAGATGAATATGTGTGCGAAGACGTTGGGGGATCACGAAATTTATTAATAGCTATGAGGGGGGATCACTTCATTGAAATAACATTGAAAGGGGGGATAAGCTAAATGTTACTGTCTTTAGCCGAACATCCTCCGACCCACCCAAATAAAGACCGATTCCTTATGACATCCAAGAGTTAAGTTGACCTTTATCATTTCAAGTAATCCTGGACGAAGCTAGGTAAATACTTTTTTTTAAGTTTCCTTATTTTCAGATCTATCCATGAGCTAGTGAACCGAGATCAGTATCTGTATCGGACGGGGTTAACGCGGAAACAACGAGAAGTCATTCGAGGCTTGGTTCAATGATTACGCAAGCCATATGCCCATATTCTTGTGATGAATTGAAATCGATCTCGGGGCAATAGCTTGACGAGCACGCAATGTTACATCACGAAAGCTATAAACAAGCGGGAAATGTTCATTCGTTCCCAGGGCCTGCTGCCTTGTCGGGAACAGTATTTCTTTCGGCTGACGTTTAACAATAAAACATTTAATCATTCTAAACTGTGCAGAGCTGACTTGACTATACGTACCACTCCTTGTACAAGCACCGAAAAGATTTATGACGTTAGGGTGGTCACCAACTGTCACCATGATTTGAAGCTCGTTTAGTAAGTCCCGCCTCTCCAGTTCTGTAGCATTCGCTGAAGTAAAAAAATGTTCAGTTTAAATTATTCAATCGTGTTTTGCAACATTAGGAAACTGTAAAGCAGGCTGTAAAACGTTCCTCTACCTGTTTCTACATGTGCAACCTTAGAGAAAGAAAAGAAAAAAGAAGAACTACGTGGTAAAGGATTTCTATTTCAATGGGCAATTCCTAATTGACCGTCTTCTATTCCTCTCTTAGTTCCTCTGTTTTTTCGTGTCTCATTTCTTCTGCTGTATCGTGATCAAATAGCGCGGCCTCATACAAAATGATAACAGCCGACCCCGCCTTGTATAAGGTGCTCGAAAGAATAATTTATGACCAATTTTACAATGATAACGATCTCTCAGCCAACTGTCAGGCTTTAGATCACTTCATAGCACACTAAAACGTCCTTGCTTGAAGCTTCCGTGAACAGTTGGTCTGTCAATATTGACAACGGTCTTATAAATGATGTTATATTCATAGATTTAAAAAAGGCTTTCGACACCACTGACTATGAGATTCTTTTACGAAAGCTAGCAAGCTATGGCATTGAACAAAGGGCCCTTAAAAGGTTTGACCCCTATCTAAGCGGTCTAAGCGATCGTAGACAAAAGTGTCTAGTTAATGGTGAGCTGTTTGGTGCGCGTGCTCTTACCTCTGGTGTCCCACAGGGAAGCCTTATTGGTTCCCTACTTTTCCTGTTTTACATTAACGATTTGCCGCCTGCCTGAGTAAAGCCTCAAGGCCACGAATGTACGCCGACGATACAAGTATCAGCATCGCCGCCAGTAGCTTACCAGAGCTTGAATCAGCACTAAACACTGAACTAGCTAACCTCCATGGGTGGCTTAATGTAAGCATTCGCTTATGTCACCAAATTGATAGAGTGCTCCACACCAAATCCTTAGGAGTCTACGTCGATCAAAATCTTTCGTGGTCCAAACATGTAAATCTAGACTGCCAAGATTACCTCCTCTGGTATAGGTGCACTTAAAAGGTTGAGGCCACTCATTTGCGAAGATACAGCTATATTGCTATATAGAGCTATTAACGGACCATATTTTGATTATTGCTGTCCTGTGTGGGGCGGTCTCAACAACGAGTTAGCCGACAAATTACAAAAACTACAAAATCGTGTTATTAGGGTTATCACCAAGTCTGATTACTATTCTAGCGCTACCGCCCTCCGCGGCAAGCTGGGATGGAATAATCTCTATATCTGAAGGAAAAAGAAAAAAATTGAAATTGATGTTTAAAACTTTGACTGATCAGTCTCCGGAGTACTTGAAAGGCCTATTTAAACCCTTAGGAACGGACTATGGACTCAACAATAGTGAAGACAAATTGGCTCTGCCTAAGCCCCGTACCGATTTTTTGAAACCTAGTTTCTGCTACAGTGGGGTAAATTTGTGGAATAGCCTTCCATCTAACGTCAGAGCCACTAGATTTTTAATTAACTTTAGATATAAGATAAATCGCCAACTGTCCTTCCCGTACTCCCACAAGGTAAACACGTAAATCATATTATTTACTTATTTATTTATTTATTTATTTATTTATATGTTTATTTTTAATATATCTCAATCTTGCAACTGATTTTTTGCTGTGTCTCATACCCACACAACTGTGTCAACCACCTCCCCCCCTTCCGACGGCCATTACATCTTGGAACAAATTTCAAATTTGGCCATTTACTTTGCTTGTGACAGCTCAAAATAATTTTGAAGTAATTATTGTAGCTTTGAAGAACAGGGACTTGGTGTCCCCAGTTCTGTCAAGAGGTAAACCTTCATTTATGTGACTGACATATAGACAGCTCAGAATCTTTACCTTTTAGCTTTTTCACTGCACATTCCCTCAATTTTCCATCCATCCGTACCAAACCTTTGTAAGCTTCCCCAAAAGCACCTTCCCCTAACTTCTCCTGAAGAGTAATATCTGATCTACGAATCTCAACCCAATCTCCCCGCATCCAAAGCTCCATCTAGAAATGAGAGGGGAATACCGTTTCTTTTCTTGACATATAATTTTTGTGAAAACGATTTGAACTGAAACGAAAAAAAAGCAACTGAGGAAACAGTCCTATTTTACAGTTACCGTGAAAGAAATATCAAGTGGCACACATTCGATTGTGACAGTTACTGAAGATAAGTATGTCGTGTACTGACCTCATCTTTTTCAGGACCCGATTTACAGGCTGGTCTGAACTTGAGGCAAACAACCACGATGAACAAAGCAGCTAATGTCAGAGGTAACACTATGATCAGGATTAAATTCCTGAAGAATCTGTCTGTGAATACGAACAGTAAATAAACGGTTACAATATTGTCGGTAATAAAATTGTTAATGTATGCATGAATGGTAAACCCTATCATTCAAAGGGCTCAAGTGTCAGTCATCTAGTTTGGGCAATACTGATACGTTTTCTTGGTCTTTTTATTGTTTGTTTGTTTACTTGTTTGTGTTGTTGTTGATGCTGTTGCTCACATGGTACTGTTTGGAAAGTTTTGGCTTCTTTTGATTTTTTCTTTTATTTTTGTGGCTGCTTTTGAGGGGGTGAAGCAAGCGTTTAATCACGCTCTTAATTGTCACAAAGGAATGGTAACTAGAAGTTGAACCTACTCTTCCTGAGTACAAAGGCAATCAAAGCTATAGGTGTAACTGGTTGCTTACAAGAGCGGTCGCAAGCGGAGCATCTAGTATAATACGTGAATATATCACTGTTTATTATCCAGTTAGATGATTTGACAGCGATAACACTTACCTGGCAGTGTTCCTTCGGTTAGCAAAACACCATCTGACCGTCCATATCTGTTGTTGCTTGATAATCGAATGGTGTACTCTGTGGAAGGTTCTAGATCCTTTAAAGTCATTCTTGTCTGATCGTATGGCAGTGTCTTCACTACTGTGAAGTTCTCGGAGACTGATGCTTTTCTTTCTATGGTATAGTTGTGTATCTGGTAAAAGCTGCCATGTTTTGGTTGATCCCAGGCAAACACGATGTACCGAGTCTGTACATTGGTCACTGTCAAGTCTTCAGGAGGTGGAGGTTTTTCTTGATGTTTCAATAAGTAACAAAGCATACAGTCAATATGGTTTCACTGAAATTGTGTACGGTTAGTAAAGAGACTACGTTCTACTTTCAGGTGCATCACACAGTTCTCTTTCCTTCAAAGATTGAGGTAAAGTTTACATGTTGGTCACGTAATATTGTTACTCTCCTTAAATGCCGTTCTGGTCTGTTGCAGGTAACCTATATTTCATCAGGAATAATAAATTGCCGTCTGTTCTGGGGGAACAAAAAAGACACGTTTCAATGACTGCTGCATTCTTCTTGCTTACCAAGAACTACTATGGCCATAACATTAAGTCCTTTCGCCATTGAGAAATCCAGTCCGCTGATTAATTGATCAATGGCTTCACCTTTGTCGGTGGTGTTTTTGTTCATAATGGCGAGGACCCTGATGTCTGCCTCCACGCTTCCATTACTAATTATAAAAAATAGTACACAAGCGCTTTACTACAAATGTACTACAACGTGAAGTAGCTCGTAACGATTCCATCTCTTTCTTTCGATGTATCGATGCTACTCCTAATACAGTCAAAATTAAAATGATGAGAACAAAACATTTCCAACAATTGATTAACAGTGGCACATGACGTTATATATTACCAAAACAACAATATTAACTGTCCCAACACCCTTATTCGGTGACTGGATATTTGCATCATAGATTACTGATAAGTGTGTCAAGAAATGTTATTGGATTATTGGAATCAGTAAACTATTATCTGAAAGAAGTCTAAAGGTTTTGTAGTTAAGTTGGTTGGTGGATGGTAAGACGGTGTTGGGGGGGACCATCACGCTATTGTACCATCTATTAGAACATACCTGAACCGCAAAATTTCCACGTCGTATATTCTTACAATTGAAGATTTATTGAAATGTTGCTTTATCTAAAAAGAAAGAAAAAATTCTTTGAGCAGTCTTGAGTTTGTAACAGAGTACGGCTTTCGAAGCTGTGAGTGCGGACTCAAGATTATGTGAAATATAAATGTTCGCCCTTGAAATTTGTACTCTACATGACGCCGCGAGGAACTCTGGACCAGCTTGAAAGTTCATAAATTTAACAGGTATGCACATGCATGTACATTGCGCAATATTTCAAACAAGAGGTTTCGAAAGTAATACGCATGTTTACAATTAAATGAAAGATAGTACCGAAGCCTTGATGTTTTCTTCCATTGCCACGAAGTTGCTGCTTCTACGGTTCAAAAGGTCACTGCTGAATTCTGCATCGATCATCAACTACAGATTTACATCAATACTTACTTCACCTGGAAATGAAACCAAAATTTAAAAGAATAAGAAAACAGGACACAATAATTTCACGAGAATGTGGAACAAATAGACTTAATGACAGCATGGCACTTACGAATGCTCCATATAGTTTAATTCATGGAGAGTGAACGTATATAAGGTTCAAAAATATAGTATGAAATCTACATAGATCAGAGCGATTATCTCCAGCTTACCATGTGACAAAGTTTTTATGACCCGAATCATGCTAGTTGGCCCATGTCCAATTTCGTTAAATCCATTTATTTCAATCTCATATTTCGTCTGTGCAACAAGATTGAGAACAACAATCTCTGTCACATTGCTTGTAGTATTTGCTTCTTCATACAGCAGAGAGCCAAGGCGTCTGTACCTCACTCGATAGCCCAGCAGTTGTTCTTTGTGGCGGGATGGATGCAAGCCATTCCAGGAAATGTGAATTGCAGTTGAATTGAGAGGATAACTCCTTAGGAATAGGCAACTCTTCAGGAACTAGTAACACAAAAGTAAAAGTTATTTTACTTGCCTGATGATTCCTATCGTCGGTCATTGAAGGTCTGAAGACAGTCATTAGGTGTCAGTACTGGGCAATACCCTTGGTCTGGGTTTTTGTCGACCAAATCGAGTGAACAAAACATCGATATCGTAGTCATTTATTCAAGGGCGTTAAAACGTTTAAAACTATTGAAATTATCATTATCACTGGATTGAGTCCAATATACCTCTTGGAGGACATTTAGGCACATTGCAATATTCCCATCGAACTTTAGGGTCAGTGGTATAACACCAAGGGCCATCCGGGGCACTGCTATCTGGATTACGACGCATGTTGAAGTCATAATGATTCTGTCTATCTGTGACATCTTGAGGAATACGCCAATGACGATGAGGACATTGTGAGTTCCACGCCTGACAGGTGCGACCAGATCGGGTGATGTTTACATTGCCACGGTACCCAACACCAATGCCATAGAAACAATCTGCAATGAATTGTACTTATGCGATCAGCTATAGAACTAAATTAATCGTGTGAATCTGGGAGCATCTGAATGGTGAAAAGCTTTTTGCTTCGCCAAACAGAAAAGTCAAAAGTTTCAGTTCTGATTCTCATCCTTTTTTTGAAAAACAGGATCAAGTTGGTTTCATCCAGATTTAACAGTTTGGAGGTTTCACCTACTCAGCTTAAAATGACTCGTAAAACTGTAACAAAATGCTACGGAGCTACCAGATCTCGTCTCTCGCTGATAAGGAGTAAATTACTATTGCTGTGAATATTGCATGCATTTTGTAGCTTTTGTATTTCTTATCAATGAATGTAATGTAGCTATTTACGGATTTGAATTGCATCCGTATGCTATATTGAGAAGAGTGTTCTTGGTGTCAACCTTACCACAGTGTGTGTGTGTGTGTTTTACTTTAAAAACTTGTAAGGTTTGATTCGTTTTTCAAAACTGAGGTAAAAGGTAGCTTGTGTGTAACGGATTGCGCACTATTGATATCAAACTTAATCAAGTTTACGAAAGATCGACAAGGTGAAATTCATCTAAAATGTAATATTTACAGGTTTTATTACTGCCAAATTAAAAGTCTAATTATTGAGGACAGACCTGTGCTTCTTGTATCATCACCTGTGGAAAATCGGGGAAAACAAGGTTATTTCTTCATTGCTGTGGAGCAATCTCTATTTGATATATCGAGTCACAGAAACACCAGTGGAAGTTTATAGCTTTTTCGAGTACACGAATTGTTTGAAGAATCTGATTTCCTCGTGTAGCGGATTCTGATGTGTTCAGGTTGCAGAGTAATTTAATTCAGTAATTGATTATTTCCTAGAGAAACTTAGAATTAGTTGGTTGTGAGAACCTTAATCAATCTGTACTGAATTTGGGCACAAATCCCAAAGCACAACATAAAAGCTTGTTGTCGGTATGCATAGCATTTATTTAGCTCTCAAGGAGTATCGAGGATGCTTCAAGGCAAACTTCTGGTGTGCTATGCTGCTTTTGTTTTACTTCAAATCGATTCATTCAGTAGTACTGAAATGGGTGATTCGTTATTTCGAAATAACGAAAATGAATCGTCTATGGCTTACACCGATATTTTTGTATCGTTTCTATAAAGCTTATATCCCTGAATTAAGGCTTCGACTTGCCAGCGGTGTTGACTGCGTTGAGACAAACCCAGCCCCCAGTTGTGACTGACTTTAATGTCAGTTAAACTATTTTTGCTCCTAACTCACAGGAAAGCACTGCGTAGCAAACTCTCTAATTTACATTGCTTATCAACACCATAGACTGATTTCCAGTGCTGCTGCTATGGCTAAGTTCTTACAAATAAGGGATTCTTTATACAGCTTGCCGTCAAAGTGCACTCGGCAAACTTTTTTGCTTCTGTGAAAATTGCCATATAGAAAGTGTCTGAAATTAACATTAGCTTGCACTTCAGTGAAAGTTTGGCAGGGAATGTCAAAGCTCATTTGATATAAAAGAATTGCTAATAAACTATAATGATTATAATTCATGCCCTCTTTTATTCTGCTTGTAGGACACTGAAATGGTTACAACTTATTGGCCTAGCCTACTTCACATTTTCAGCATAACAGACTTGTCAGTGCAAACAAGTATAATTTGGCAAGATAAGGTTTAACAAGACAGAAATCATTCCATATTTATACCATCTGAGCTGTCATCTGAGCAAGCTTCTTAACTTGTTCTTTAAAGACTCACTGTCTTTAAATAAATTCGTTTAGTAGTTGGTTTGATATTTATATATGCATAGTTCATGTTTCAAATAAAATGACGAAGGATCACTACAAAACTTATTACTGTTAAAAACGTAATATGCATATATTACATGTACGCACTGCGTACCTATTTTTGCTTATGCTTATGTAAACCTAGATATACTCACCCGATATTGGATAGTATTGATAACATTCAGGAGCATCTCCGCCATTAACAACGTCATATAAGCTGCAGTTGATCATGTTTTGCCCAGCTGCTGACAAGGATCCAGGGGTCTCTGCTGCCTTTCTGATTAAAATCATTTCTTTCTCACACAACTCTTGATCCAGATACTCGCATGTTCTGCGACAAATTTTACGGGCACGAGGCTTGTCCATTGAAATATCGCACGGCGGGAAATGATAACGGCAATACAAATCTCTCATAAGCGGTCTGCACTCATCCGTTACTTCAAAGACATCTAAATAACCTCGAAATCTGGAGGTATCCATTTCACTTATCCTCAATGTATCACTATCACCAAACACGTACAAACTAGTAATTATATCCTCGCACAAACCTCCTTTAATGTTGTAGGTGTAATATATGCAGGAAGAATTCTTTGCAGAAGCGTTAACGGGAGGTATTGCCTGCACGCAGCTGAAATAAGAAAAATAAAACATCAGCAGTAAATAGTTAAGACATGACTCAATGTCAGTGGTCAACAATTCAAATATGGCTTAAGTTGAGACCTTTTTCTTAGAACATTGAAATGTGTCATACATTTGTCCGCGTTCACGCAACCCACCTTGAATGAGTGTCCGTTTGTGTAAAGTTATTCCCCGGTGAAAAATCAGAGACAGGAAAAAATTAGCTCGCTCTGGAAATGAATCATTGTGAAATTCGTGCCAGTTTTAAAGCAACATTATCCTGGGAATTGTGTTTCTGCAAGCGGGAACTGCTGTGTCGCTTAACAGTATAACTTAATAAAAGCTTGCTTAAGCCTAAGGCCTTTTGGACCTTAGCAGAGAAGAGAGGCCATAAGCTGGCCAGCATTTCTCTGCTTCCTGTAGCACAGGGATGCTATTGCATGGCATTCTGCCAAAGGTTCTCCGGCCAGCACCTTTCTAAGTTGTGTGGTTGATTAAACCGTTTGGTATTTCTTAGATGCTCAGTAAATATTCCAAAAACAAAACCATCTACCACAATGAGCCAAGTTAATGCACAAGACAAGAAGAATGCCAAGAACTTGAACTGCTCCCATGTGTCAATGGTTCGTCACACAAGCGAGTCAATCTGGCGAAAAAGAACACAAGACACCGATACTGCGATGCATAGTAAGGAAAATACATTCAAGAAAATTTCTGCAAGAGGCTTATGAACGTCACTAAAACATTTTGTTTAATATACCTTGAAATAGACAACAACAACAACAACAACAACAACATCTTTATTTTCTCGATACAGATTTGGCCTTGATGAAGCTGTGCTAAATTTCAATTTGCTTCCTGTTTGCATTAAGTGCCAAAATGTCCACACGAATGGACACACACGAAAGCATATCAATAATCAGATGGAAGAAATTTGCCCAGAGTCGACAGAAATCAGTTTTGCCATATAATGTTGTAAAGCGGTTCAAATGTACTTATAAACTGGACCATCGTGACACAATAAGTCTATTTTACTGTCCATGTCGCATTTTTGACTTTATCTAACCCTTCGTTCAGTGATGTAAGTTCCATTCGTTCCCTTTTCTATTCAGTAATTTCGAAAGACTGTCAGCAACCACAAGGTCAATTAGAAGGAAAAACAATTAGCATACACCGCCTTTTATCGCGATGCTTTATCGCACACATATTGCTAAAAATTCTGCGCAAAGACAAAAATTTGGAAGCGCGCCAGAATTTGGTGATGGTTTTAAAATTCACTTCACTAATTAAATTATTTTCAGAAAACTACGGGCTTGCATTTAGTTTCCGTTAGTTTAAGATAATTTTGTTCCCGAATTGTAAAATTTCGGATTTTGGGTCCTTATCTGTATATTATGTTATTGTACTAGACTAGGTGCAAATGCTATGCTGAAAGATTCCTTTGGAGGTTTTATAATCTACTCATTCGTCTGACCCCAGCTTAGGAAGATTTTCATTGCAATCCTGATTGAGATTTGCTGTAGAAAAGACGATATAAAGAACACTTCTGTCAAGCAAAACTTAGAAACCAATGCATGCATCTACTCGACAAAAAGACGTACTTTAAAGAAATGAATTTGTACATTATTTCTTATATTTTATCCGTTTAAAACTGTGGAGACTAAAGGACTGGCGAGTTCAGTAACGTAAACACCGAAACAACTAATTACCTTTTCAGTTGAATCCTGTTTATCCCACAACGCTTTAGTTGTCAATGCAAGGTCCGTTGATCTACGAAATTTGGTGTGCTGTCAGCCAGGTTTCAGTAGGAGAGATGAAAACAAGTTGAGGTAGTCGCGCACATCGCACAAACAAATACTGTCTATAGTTATGTCAAGCGTGACGTCGACCTTTACAAATTGGGCCTGTGCGCAGAGGCGGAAATCAAGAAGTCAAAGAATTTGAATTGTTTTGGTCATTAAGAGAAATTTCGTCGATTCTGGTGAGAAGTGAAAAGAGTAGGGCCCTAAAATTTTTGCAAATAGCCACTGCATTTGGGTCTCATGCAAAATTGAGAAGTTCTTAGTTTCACAAAGTCGGGAATTTTATGAACGCTTGTGCATTGGAGGGAAGCCAACCATATAAACCTCTTTATTTCCAAGCTTTTTGTCGCTTGTAAAATTGCAAGGCTATAGTTTTGCAAAGTCGGAGATTTTATGAACGCTGGCATAATCGCGGGGGAAGGGGGAGTTGATTTGTGCAGCCAACAACACAAACGTCTCTAAATTTCATAGCTTTTGTCGCATGCAAAGTCGAAAAGTTGTAGTTTCGCAAAGTGGGGAATTTTATGAACGCTTGTATAATAGGTGGAAGCTTATTTGTACACCCAAGTGTACAAACATCTGGTGATGGTGATGGTGATGGTGATGGCCATGGCGATGGCCATGGCGATGGCGATGGCGATGGCGATGATGATAATGATGATGATGATGATGATGATGAGGATGAGGATGAGGAAGAGGACTATTGAGTATCATATAGAGCATATTTAATATATAGCTACATATAACTTCGGCCAAGGTAAGCTGTGGAGGGAGAGAGGCAGAAGACGGATTTTGCCACTAGGAATGAGGCTGTTGCCGCTGCGAGGGACAGAGCAGATTGGAGGAGACAAGTCAATGGCCTTATTCTCTCAGAGGAGAGCCAGGACTAATGATGATGATGACATGTAACTTCCCTAGATAACGTATCACTGATTCCATATTGAATTCCAAAATGCACAGGAATCACTGAAGAATGACAGGTACAAATTGTAAACTGACGTTCACAGGTTTATTGCTGCCTTATAGAAAAGTGGAGGGTCGTTCACGCTCTACCCCAAACACCCTCAAGGCCAGTAGCTTTTTCAAATATATAGAAAAATAATGTAAGAAAGTGCGCGCTAATTATTATATTACAAACTGGCCCGAGATGAAGAAGAATAGACCTCTTAAGCTTGGTTGGTTTGTTGCCCCATTTCAGACCATGAGAATTCTTGCTTTCAAATTTTCAATTAGTCGCATGTGTATGAATGAATAATTTTTTGGATGGATAAAAGAGCAGTTCTCTGGAGAATATCAAGTGGTCTGCAATGGAAAACCGCCCAAGCTAAAAAAAGTCTATCCTGACTGGTCACCTGAGTGGTCCGAATTTGGCAACACAGACGGCTAAGATGGACCTCTGACAAGTTAGTTTTAAAGTTTGCCAAAAAAAAAAAAAAAGAAGACAGTTTGTTGTGGAGTAGAAAAATTTCTTTCCCTTCATATTTGGAAGACAATTTGGGTTTATCTTTCACGAAAGCGACCTGAAAAACTTAGATAAATATTTAGCTTTTGCACGCGCATTTAATCCTTTATCTATACATTAATTCATTATGATTTTCCAGTGATTTAATTATCGGAAGGTAGACTGGAAAGATCATAGAGGGTGCACAACTACTACTTCCACCCAAGACAGTATTCATCAAGACATTTTATTGATCTTTTTGTTTGCCTCTCATACTAAGGGTTATATTAATATTATAATATAATATTAATATAACCCTTAATTAATATATATAATATTAATCTCTTGTTTCGTGAAAAATTTAACATTTTGCACATTTCTCCGCTTAGCAACCTCGCCTATCTTGTTAACGCCGTGAGTTCGCCCAGCCCAGTCCACCACTATGAAATTTGCGGTTGCTCTACCTCGAGATGACCTTTCATCAAAGCACTTCTTTGTTGCCTAAAAGAGAAACATAAGGCTAGTTAAGGCGGCTAATAGCGTCAGTTCTGTGGTCATGACAATCTTGCGACTCATGATTTACTCTAGATCCAGAGCTTATCAGGTCTCTTTAGCTGGGGGAACCAAGACACCACAAATGAAATATTCTTCCCATGATGCACCTAAGCCCCACTGGCTGCAGACTCGATCGATGTGTAAAGCGAAGAACCTTGAAATGCTTATAATATTTCTTATGCTAGAGTTTGAAGCGGAAAAGAAATTTCGTCAAATTTTCAACAAAAGGCTTTTCGACAACGAGGTGCACACCATTTGAAAAAATTAAGCTGTTCACGTAATTAATAATATGCCCAAGCCCGCAGCGAGCAAGGTGATCTAAATCTGACGTTTTGATTGGTTGCCAAATGGGCAAGATAAGCCTTCGTGTCCGCTCAGAATTACCCTCTGATCCGCAAGAAATAGTGTTCTTTATGGCATCATAATAAATCCTTAACTGCAGTAAAGCTTATCATTCTAAGGTTGACTTTCGACTGCTTATAAAGCTGAGAAAATTTGTCAATCTCCCTAACTACAGCCAATTAGGCTAACGGAGTACCGTAATAGGCTTACTAGCAGGTTGCAACTCCAGGTTACTTATAGAGAATCCCCATTAGGCCTTAAAGTCATTCCACTGAAATAGAACCTGCACTGAGATTTTTGTCAAACTTTGCCTATTGATTGTTTATATTATAGGAACTTAAATTTTGAAATAAAAATGAGGGGTCCCCATGTTCGTTTTGGAGCAACAGCACCTTGTTTATACCCATATAAATCCTTATAATAGCACCATGACTGTAGTCACGATTGCTTGCTAAACTCACGTTTCCGGCGATTGCTTTTTGTTCTACACTGAGAATTGGTCCATATTTATTTTACACAGAGAAATTTATTACTCAAATCAAAACAGCAGAAAAAAATGATAGGTCACCATACTCGGTTGCGAGAAAATGACGATTTACCTCTATGGCAAGGTCCAACTGTAAAGAAAAAGCCGCCATTTTTTACTGCGCGCGCGCTAATCACACGTGAAATTATGCGCAGTAGGGATGCGCAATGCAATACTGGGGAATAACCTTAAGTGTCCTTAATTAGCACAAGTATAGCTAGATAGCAAGAGACTATGATGTCTTGTGGATAGTAAGCAGAACATAACTGACCTCATCAATATACTCATTGCACCAGTCCGCAAGATGTTTCACGCACAGCCCCCAAGTTAAAAACAAGTCCATTTCCATGAAATCAAAGTAATACGAGTCAGCACATCGCTTCTGGATAGCATCTACTAATTTGCTACACCCAGCAGACTCAATCAGGTTCATTGGTGTCCACGACAACGAAATTTCATAATTTGTGTAGTAAACCCAGCGATACTTGTAGTAGTTGTCACCAATAAGACGGTGGTCCATGAACAGAAATATTCGTTGATTAGTAGTAATCGCTTCACCTAATGTCGGCCACTTCCAGGATTGTCTGCGATAGTCATTTAGAGAGAGCTGTTTCAAACTTGTTTTCTCTTTTGTTGGCTCCCATAAGTTCTTCATCTGCGAAGATAGGCATAATTTTCAGGTGCGATATAGGAGATAAGCTAATTGACTTTGACAAAAAGGAGGGCATGATATTGTCTCTCTAGAACCGGCTCTCAATGGTCAGTTTGTATGCGATACTCTTTTCTTGGTAAAAAGAAAAGCTAAAAGTTAATTTGAAATTGTGTTTCTTTTTGGACGTTTACTGAAAGTGTCAATTATTCACTTCAAAGCAACATTGGTCAAAAAGGCAGAAAAAAATGATAGGTCACCATACTCGGTTGCGAGAAAATGACGATTTACCTCTATGGCAAGGTCCAACTGTAAAGAAAAAGCCGCCATTTTTTACTGCGCGCGCGCTAATCACACGTGAAATTATGCGCAGTAGGGATACGCAATGCAATACTGGGGAATAACCTTAAGTGTTCTTAATTAGCACAAGTATAGCTAGATAGCAAGAGACTATGATGTCTTGTGGATAGTAAGCAGAACATAACTGACCTCATCAATATACTCATTGCATAAGCTAATTGACTTTGACAAAAAGGAGGGCATGATATTGTCTCTCTAGAACCGGCTCTCAATGGTCAGTTTGTATGCGATACTCTTTTCTTGGTAAAAAGAAAAGCTAAAAGTTAATTTGAAATTGTGTTTCTTTTTGGACGTTTACTGAAAGTGTCAATTATTCACTTCAAAGCAACATTGGTCAAAACGAGTGTGACGAGTGATACAAAAGCAATAGGTTATCTCTGGCTTATTGAGCGTGAATAATTGCTGAGCTTGGGTTGATTTTCGAAAGGTTTTGGCTCGTCTGGTAGCCGTACACATAAAGGTGTATGAAATCGATTGATACAAGCTAAAAGGATAAAACGAGCCACAATCGACTAATTTTTCCAGTCTTTACCTGTTTAAGAATTTCGTTTCCGATCTTTTGGGCTTTCGACTTCACCGTGTCTCTACCAAACTTGATAATGACAACTTCAGTAGGATTTCTTCGCATCCATTCATCTATCTGGTGCAGCATTTTTCTAATCGGTCCACCGTAAGCTCCGCTGTGGCATGTCCAAGGACCATGCTCCCATCTTCCTGAGTCCACAAAACACGTGTCAATATCAAAGTACCGGATGCCATTATCAAGCTGTTTGGTGATACTTTGTCCCTGGCTTCTATACCAGCAGCTTCCCGCCGGAAAACTTAGTCCGATCTTTGTGTGATAGTAAAGGATCCCGTCAAAGCCTGCACCAGAATTGTGCGTTCCTGCAAAGGTAGCTTGGTTGATTCTTAAATCACAGAACTCAGCCATTCCGTTGCATATCAAACCCTGAGTTGGGCTTATAAAAATTGCAAATGCAATTACCAAGGAAAGTTGGATCACTCTAGCGCAGTCCATCGCTTTGGTACAACACGGTATAAATGATACTGAAGTCCGGAGTATATTTCCCTAAGACAGCGGACTATCAATCCTTCTGCTAACAATTCGTTTGCAAAGCTGTTATTCGAATTATTGTTTAACATTAGCCTAGAAAATCAACATGGAAAAGCTGGAATAATATTGCGTTAGTTTAAATGCAACAATATAGAATTGTTTATGACATGTACTCATCAATTGATCATAAAGAAAAAAAGAAAATAAAAAATTTATCACAACTTTGAGCTGAACATTACCTCTATTTTATTGAGAAAAAGGTTTAACAATATGGATGGAATACTTGAGAGGCTCATGTTGATATTCATGAGAAATAATTGAAAGCAATCAGGGCAAAATATCTCATCAAAGAAAAAGCTTTTAAGTCTTAAGGCGTTCACCATTTTTATAAAATATCCTTTATTTAATCGTATTTGTAAATACACAATGTTCTCTGTTATTCACTAATTTATTTACTCATTGAAGCCAGAACTTGACCCGACCATCGACCCAAAAGATACCGGAAAATTAGTGTATGATCCTAACGCATGCAATAAATTGCAAATTTCCTCTCGTTTCTCCTTTAGTTTTCATTTCTTGTATATTTCCCTGGGGTTTCTTTTCTGCATCCAAGCAACACCTTGCGTTTCTTCCATTTATTATTTTATTCTTGGACATTTGTTCTTTTCAACAGAGTAACAAAAACATAAATATAAATTTCTTTGAGATCAACATCGGATTGACACCAATGTTTACGCAGGTGAACTGGGACACAATTGTTACTGCAGTAATAGAATAAAATAAAGGCTTTTGAAGAATAGTAGGTTTCGTTGAAAAGTTGAAATCATGGCTGGAAATGCAGGTGTAATGTATGTGTCAATATTAACACTCGTCCAATGAATAGTAACACCTTCTAAGTCCCTTAGTTTCAAAGTTGTCCAGTTTCTTAATGCGTCATGTTCTTCATTTCATTTCAGCCATTTGCCACAAGGGCTGTATAAAATGATCTATCATGACTTATTTTTTGTCGTTACTGGAAGTAACCGTAATTTCATCGGTTCCGGATCTCGCGAAGCGAGGCCGCCAATACCGCAAGATTTGCTCAGGTTCTTTTGATCGATCTTCACCTTTAAAACGCGAGTTTTAATGAAAAATAACTACTTTAATTTTTAAAATTCGTTCCTTTTAATTTGATGTCTCTACTGAAGTGAAAAAATTGCGAATTTCCATAGGCGTACGGGCCGGGGGGGGGGGGGGTTGCCGAAGGACAATTTTAGCCAACTCTAAATATCCCCCAGTAACACTTTAATTAAAAAAAGAAAAAAGGTGTACATGTTATTCGCAAAAAAACTTTTTAGAAGTCGGTTTCCTTCAAAGNGGGGGGGGGGTCAAATGATATAAGGATAAAGTCACATATCGTTTAAATGTGTATCGTGGAAATCCACAATATGAATATTATTTTAGGGCTCTCCACAAGCTATGTTGCCCGCAATTTCTCAGAAAGTTGCTCAAAAGTTGCTCAAAAAAGGTCAAAGGTAGCTTTTTGTAACGAAAGTTGCTCAAAAGTTGCTCCAAAAAAACAAACAAACAAAAAATTTTGTTGCTCTTTTCCTTTATTTGGTCTGCTGCAAAAATATGCAAATTGTACGACAAAAGTAAGATATCTAAGCTTTTATTGTGCAATTTTGCGGCGTAACCAGCGTTGCTAAATAACTTTGTCCTTAATTTAAGACTACGCATCAATATTAATCTTGCAAAAATTCTTCACCTGAGACACTCGAGTCAGACGAGTGTGAATCTTCGTCCGTTGACCTAGCAGCCCGGCAGCATGCATCTTGCACCCATCATCTGCCCCAGAGGGGAGGGGAGATCTGGCTCCTTTTTCACAGGAAATTTATAATTGCATACAAAAACACGGTGAAATAAGGAAACAATTAAGGCCAACTTAAGAACTTAAAGCTGCTCCGATTTCTCAGAATTGATAGAAAACTAGAAATTGGACAGAAAATGCAAAAACATAGACATAATATATGATTGATCATTGCAGTTATACACACAACTTAAGCAGTTGAGAAATTAAAGCCTAAAAAAAAAATTCAGGCCTGAACGGGATTCGAACTCATGACCTCTGCGATACCGGTGCAGTGCTCTACCAACCGAGCTATCAAGCCATCATCAAGTAGATGATGACGAATGCAAATGAATATATGAAAGATCATAAAGTGTAAAATTTGATTTCCGTAAAACAGTGCAGTGAGTAGAGCGAAGAATGTAATGTGGGAGGAAAAACACAAATAAACTACAAGTTCGTCCCAACGAACTTGTAGTTTATTTGTGTTTTTCCTCCCATATTATATGAAAGATCATATATTTGAAAAAGTTGCTCGAAACAAAAGTTGTTCAAAACGAAAAAGAGTTGCTCGAAATACGAAAAGTTGCCAAAAAAGCTAAAAAAAATGTCGAACATCTTGTGGAAAGCCCTATATATATTATTTCCATCAACAAAACAATTGCAAAAGAATCAAAGCAAACAAAGACCAAGACTTTTGTTTTTGTGGTAGCTCTGAAAAGAGCCGTTTTAAAATTTTCTGAAAATTTTTGCACGAGGAAGAACTAACTGTTTCTTTTATAAGCTTTTGATTTTACTAATGACTACGATCAAGAGATTATCAAGGTAAGAGAGTGAATCCCCCATATAGGTCCTCTAACTAAGGTAATCCCTCTTAAGTTATTTTTAGAAATGGTACCCAGTTCTTCCGAGGATGCTAGCTAGCGCGATGCGTGGACAGCCGAATCAATTTTCTCGAAACTACCTGAGACGAAATGGCGAAACGTCATTTTATACGTTTTAATTTCGTTTCAGAGCAGAGCACTCTCAGCCCTCTTTTTGTTCGGTCGGGCTTTCCTAAAAGTGAACTGCTAACTATGAAAATCGTGAGTTGAATATACCATTTGGATCCATGAATTATACGCGATATGAACAGTCCACCTCAGGGGGGTGTGAATGTTTTAATAATTATTATTTTTATTTCTTAAATTTCTATTTTGTATTTTATTTATATTTATTATTATTATCATTATTATTATTTTAGTTCTATTTTGCTTTAATTTTTGTTTTTTTATTATTATTTTTTTTTACACTCCGCAATCCACACTCCGCACTCCTCGTTTTCGGAACAGCCAAAAGTGAACTGCTAACTATGAAAATCGTGAGTTGAATATACCGTTTGGATCCATGAATTATACGCGATATGAACAGTCCACCTCAGGGGGTGTGAATTTTTTAATAATTATTATTTTTATTTCTTAAATTTCTATTTTGTATTTTATTTATATNAATGAGGATTTAAATTAAAATATTAAATCAATGAAAAAAATTCCGATAAAGTAATTTGCCTGGGAGTCTTTGCGTTTTTTCAGTATTAGTCACATGACCATGGGCGTGGCCTGATGACGTCATCACTAGTGTTGCTGATCATGAAAAAGTTAAAACACATGAAATAACTCTGAAGTGACTAAAAATGACGAGGTTATATGAGAATAACTTTTCCCTAGCAACGGCTCGAAAAGATCGGTTAATGGGCCCTTAAGGAAAAAACGATTTTTTTAAAATAAAAGTTAGTAAAACAGTTGCGTATCATAGTCCTCATAGCGCGTCGACTTTCTGCGCGAAACGGCTTCCTCCGGTAGTACTCGTTACAAGGGCCTCAATAGCATTTTTTTTTGTTTACACGCTGTTTCGCAGTTGTATTCTCGAATTAATTCGTTCTTCCATCCTAACTGTCACTCTTAATTCAGGTCATGAAACGTGCTAGAAAAAGGAAGAGAAAAGTCCTTGGACAGCGGCAAGGGATTGACCAACAGCGGCAAGGGATTGTGCATACCCATACCTGTACTCTTACCACGCTTATTTCTCTTGGTTTTTTCCTATTTCGCACTGGAGGTGAAGACATCTCTATAAAAGCACGCTGAAGTTCAATAAGGAGAACGTGACTGTTATACTATTACTGCCTTGGAATTCCCGCGAAAATCATTTCGCTCTCTGTGACCGTAGGAGTGCCATGATTTTATTGGCTGGCGGCATGTTCTGTTGACATACATCCGAGTTAAGGTTTGGCATGTGTACAACTCTTCGAACGGCGATAACTCGCCGGCAATTATAGTATTTCGCGAGAATACCAATATTTTGTGTGTAATAAAAAGATTTTTATAAAACAATATGGGGTCACCGGCTTAGTTTTTAAGATAGATGCAATTGATGCTAAAAAAAGTGGGTCAAGTTTGTTGCTATGTAACAGGACAGTGCAACCTTAATTTATGACTTAAACACAATGAAAGGCACAGTAGAGAGTTACCTTAAAAAAATAGCACAGCCATTCAAAACAGTACAGTTCCAAGCCTGAAAAATCGCACCTAGTTCGCACCTAGCACCTAAGTCTCAAAAAAAAAAAAAAAAGAATTTTTTGAGCCACCTTAAGTAAACATGTTAGCTCGGCAAAAGTAAAAGGCTCGAAGTAGAATTTGGATTGTTCAGAACAATCTTCCCCTTGCTGAAACTTAAACAAAAGGAAATTGTACTAAACTCAACTGAAATTTTGAAGCTAAATTGAAAATGCACACGTCTTGTTATATACGCACGGCCGTGCGTATATTTAAGAATTGGTTCATGCTTAGCGTGCCTATATCGAGTTATGCGCGCGGGAAGTTTGGAGAACACGAAAGAAGCGTAAGAGATCCGCGAGGCGGCTTTTTGGTCAGCACAGTTTGGTTTAAAATACAAACACGACGACTTTCCAGTTGATCCCATGGCTTCAAAACCGCACCAGAATTAGCTCCATTCCTCTTTCGGTTGCCGTCCGCGTCTCAGAAACGTCGCTGCTTAAGTTCGCTATTAACAATTATTCGCCAAAGGCGAATTGAATATTGGTGAATATTCACCGAGTCTAACCCTAACCCGCTACTAAAATCAATCCAAGCTGAGCAACTGGTTTTCGAGTAACAACCAACAGATAACCTACTGATTTTGTAAGGGGGCCACACTTTTTCTTTCTATGAAGCAACGAGTATTACATACAAAGTGATCATTGAGAGCCGGTTCTAGAGAGACAATAGTGGCCTTCCGTTTATTAAAGTCAAAAAGAGAAAAGAAGTTAAAAACAGCTCTCTCTAAAGGACTGGAAGTGGCCGACATTAGGTGCAGCGATCACTATCAATCAACGAATATATATTTTCTTGGACAACCGTCTCTTTGCTGACAACTACTACAAGTAACGCAGGGTTTACTATACAAATATGAAATTTCGTTGTCGATTACTTGATTGAGTCTGCTGGGTGTAGTAAATTAGTGACTTCATGGAAGTAGACTTGTTTTTAATTTGGGGGCTGTGCGTCAAACATCTTTCGGAATGGTGCAATGAGTATATTAATGAGGTCACCCATTTTTGCTCACAATCCAGTTATATTTGTCTTATGAGGGTTGCCCGGTTAGTAACCTGGAGTTGCAACCTGCTAGTGAGTTGATTACGGTACTCCGTTAGCCTAATTGGCTCTACGGTTTGTCTGAAAAGTGGCATGTAGTTAGCAAGATTGAAATTTTGAAATTTTCTGAACCTCATTAGCAGTAGCAAGCCAACCTTAAAATGATACGCTTTTGGTATAGTTATATTAACAAGAGTATTTATCGTTTTGCTCTGAAATGCTAAATTATATGAACAGCCTTCATTCTATAGTAATTGAAAAGATGTCCAAATATATGTCAAGTGTTTCGAGTGTGTCAACTTTACTACCATTATTAGTTATTTAATCTACATAGCAGTATTCTCCTCTTTCTGGCCATCGAATTCTGTTGCCAAATTGACATTGCCTTGAGATTCAACTTCATTTCTTTTAAACTTCAAGGAATCCTGATAAAACACAAAATAAAAGGGTAATGAAAATCAGCTATCGTAAACTTCCGAAAGTAACGAACCCCTGAGAGTAACGTGAAAAAATTATGGCAGCTAATAAATCGCGAAAGTAGCGAACCCTCCGAAAGAAGTGAGAAAACCCCCACCCCCTCTCCGAAAATAGTAAAACCAATGCCCCATTCACATCAACTAAGCTAATTCAACTAAATCAGGTTAAGGGTTTCCCAATTTGTCGATTACGCTTTGCAGTCATTTCGAAAAGACAAATTTCAAACCAACTTGCGAACATATCTCAATCAAAGACGTTTTTACCTTGTAAGGTTGTGGAGTGTGTACGGCATAAGCAACTAATTTTTAACCTTGTTAAGGTAAA